TTATGGTATATTTTATAGTGGGTTACCCGCTGTACTAGAGGGATACAGCGATGCTAACTGGGTCTCTGACTCAGATGAGATAAAATCCAACACTGGATATATATTCACCCTTGGAGGTGGTGCCATTACGTGGAAATCAACCAAACAAACTATAATCTCTAGATCCACTATGGAGTCTGAGCTTATTGCTTTGGAAGTGGCTAGTAGTGAAGCGGAGTGGTTGAGAAATTTCTTAGCAGAAATTCCGGTTGGTACAAAACCAACACCATCTGTGTCTATTCATTGTGATTGTAGAAGTGCAATAGATACTGCTAAGAAAATGTGTTATAATGGGAAGAATAGACACATTCGTTTAAGACATAAAGTCATTAAACGATTATTGAAGAATGGAATTGTGTCCATTAATTTTGTGAGGTCACAAGGAAATTTAGCGGATCCTTTGACAAAAGCCCTAGGACGAAAATTGATAACCGAAACATCGAAGGATATGGGACTAGTGTCACTTTGAAACAAATGGGGATGGGAACCCAACTTGTGTGATCGGAGATCCCATGAAGCAAGTTCATATGGGTAATAACAAGTCTTCCATTTAGTTCTGCTAGCCTAACTAAAATTGCCCATTTTCCATGATGTGAGATATAGGCTAGAAACCGTATTCTTTGAGAGGCTGAGCTAAAAGCTCTTAATGATTATCATATCCCTTAACTTAAGGGTGGTGTGCAAAAGCGGTACACACTTGATGATATCACCTATATGAGTGTGAGGTGGGGCCGCCTCTATGAAGCATGACAAAACTTCTAGAGCACTCATGAACACCAAGCACGCGCATGGCCTTACGGCGCACAACGGCGTAATAACGAGAAATTGTGCAGGGTGAGACACGATCGTTAAGACCCTGATTTACCAATAGTAGCTTATTGGTTCATAGAAACTATATGTTTCACCAAAAGCTCGGTTTATTAAGACTTAATCGTCTCGGTTTGGTTCATAGTCTACGGACACCAAACTAAAAGTCTTATTCCTTTAATCCAGCAGAAATTTTCTAAACTATTTTAACATCTTAAAATATTCATTTGAAATATGTGGGGGATTGTTGGAAATATTAACAGTATTTCAAATGAATATACTATATATTACAATTAACTTATGTATACGTAGCTTTACTTTGGCTTCATGGTTGGAAATCATTAGCTTTATTATTTATGATTAATATGCTAACGTTAACTTTTATTTTACTCAAACGTTAATTCGGAAGTATGAAACGTTTTTTCTTCTTTTCAATACTTCAGCTTTAAAGCATATAAAAAGCAAAACGTTACTGTGGCTTCATGGTTGCCCACTTGCTCAACGTTTAGTTTTATTCATGGAGCATTCATTATATGAACGGTTTATATTTGAAAGCAACGTTCAACATTTTCAAGTGTATATATATGTGTGTTCGGCTAGCTATGAAAAATATAATTTTGAGCTAAAACATCCCCTTATAGATTACAACTCCGCTGGATTAATTTTACTCTACTCTCGTTGTTCTGTTACCGGCTTACGCCGAAGAGCTCGTTATATCTTGGGGAAAGGTTTTCGCTAGTCGGAAATACTTTCTTGAGGACAGCGTCTGACGCGTCTCGAGCTATATTATTATTTCTAACACTTTTTTGCAGGTTTATCCGACCAATTCCATCAACACCTAAAAGCCTAAAGAAGTTCAAATAGAATGGGAATTAAAATCATATATTAATTCCTATGATCACATTTAGTTAACTAAATAATATGAACTTTTAATTATTTAGCTCCCACTAATTTTACATGTTCTTTGACCCCAATAAAAGGGACATGGATTGTTTTCACAACCATAGTGGCTAAGATCCACATTCATATTATTACAATCCAAGCTTGAGCTGATCACTACAATAATATAATGGGTAAGTCCCTAGACCAATTGCATCAAAGCAACTCTTGGTCGATCAATTTTTAATTGATTGACATCCTTAAATTAACACTGACGTTTGGGCGACTCGAGCTAATTTAAGTAAGTCAAAACCATCACACGATCACAAACATATGTATCTATAAATTAGTTCTATATTTCGTCGAATGGAATAAACACTTGGGTGAAATATTCTTCAACGAAAAAATATTTCTACTAATTTAATTATGATGGGTGATGTTGTTGTCCTAGATAAGACTTAAATTTTAATTTATGGGGAACATTTAGCGCGTATTAAATTACTTAATCAAGATGCTAAAAATATTATCAAATAATATGTTGATGAGATCTAACTCAGACAGATAAATTAAAACATGCAATCTGAATATAATTCAAACTTGTAATAGTCAAACATTAAAGTAAAAACATGTTAAACACATTAACCCGTCAAATTAAAATTATCCTTCCAAATCCCAAACATAATTCATCTAATTAATAAAAAGGTTAATTTTAATTTAGTTACTTTTATAATTAAAACCGATAATGATGATTATCATTATCTCACATACCGACTAACGTAAAGGAGAAAAGATGGAGATCATAATGTACGAACTACTCTTTCACTTCAATTAAAATTTCTAAAACAAAAATTGCAGTAAAACCCTCAAAGGTTTTCTAATTTTGAATCTACATACATTAGTCTCCTTCTCAATATCAAATCCAGAACAAGTCTACTGAACAGGGGAAACATATAGCAGCGGGATTTATGGACCCGGACACTCAAACGCGTAAGACTCTCCTCGACTTGATAGAAGAGGCCTTCGTGGATGCAACGGGAAATCAAATTCGCCGCACGCAAATATGATGTCTTCAGTTGTACGTCCTGGATATCGCCGGATTAGTAGATCGTTATTGCCGTTAATTTCATCCACCCGTCTTCCAGATCGATTAACAAAAATGAAATACCAGGTTGTCGAAGAAGACGTTCTTTTTGCTTAGCCGATCTCCAAAAACGAATCACGACAAAAACGAGCAGAATGGAAGAGAGAAAAAAACTATTTGATAGCCGTTATATTTACTTGTGTTTAACATAAGTATTTATAAGTATTTGTTGAAGAAAAGAAGAGAAATTGGGAAAATATCTTGAGAATGAGAGTTAGAGCATTAAACATTGTGATGAACGGCTTTTGGGACCAAAAGGATGACGTTTTGCCCATCATTTGAGTATAACGTATTGTAGAGAACTAGAAATTACGCCATTCGAATTTCATGTGAATGGTAACTCAATAAGGTACAAATGTTATGAAGACATTATGGCCAGAATAGGAAAGGAACAATACTCAATCAACCGATAAAGTCAGATGTTGCTGGTGGGATTTCAGGATGCATACCTCTCAGTGTTTTATCCATATCTGTTTATTGGATGAATAAAATCACGTCATTCAAGTTTTGTTGGATAGAAGACTTCATTATCTACAACTTTGGTGAAGGAATCATGTCCAAATTCGTAGCGGAACATCTCCAAAATCCCGGTACAAAAACCGACACTTTTTGATCCATTTCGGAGGAAGAGAAATGTAGTATATTTTTGGGCGCAGCAACCGGCGCCGGTCGGTCTTGAACCGGAGCCGGTCGGAACGTTTTTTCTCGCACAAATGAGCCTGTTTTCAACCGGGGCCGGTCATCTGACCAACCGGCGCCGGTTGGGTCGATTTTCAGCTAAAAACAGCATCGTGCAAGCTGATTCTTGATGGGAAAACCCCATCTTCCTCAATGCTAATCAAATATTGCTTCCATACCTCATTGTTGGGTTCGAATAGACTAAAATATGTCATTCTTTAGCCTATATAAAGCCCTCAATTCATCATACAAACACATTCCATTCCATAGATTAATTCTTAGCTTTTATATTTTTGTTCTTGGTATTTTCTTCAAGTTCTTGAGAAGGGAAGTTCATCCTCCGAAATCATTGGTGTTTAGGTATTATTTCCTTTGTAATTTCATGTTCCATTACATTTATTATTGTATTGTGATTAATATGAGCATTAGAGGCTAATTTCTTAGCTAAGGCTAGGGATGAACTTCTATGCCCACTAGGTGTTTGATAAAAGTTCTAAACCAATAAATTGTGATTTATCCTTTATATATTGATTGTTTATGACTATGGTGTACAACATAGAAGTATGTTAAATTTAGTTTATACTTGCAATTAACGTTGAAGTCTAAACTATGAACACTAAAGGATAAACATATATAGTACCGAGAATAGAAATATATCCGGTCTTATATGATACGGGTGTGATGTCTTGATATTCAACGGGGTTTTCGGTAGATGAATGTAAGCCGTAACGGGACTTACACGTAACGAAAACCACGCTCTCGCTGCCTTAACCGGAGTTGAGAATATATTAGCGACATCGTATTCATAATTATTGGCAAAGAACTAATATTCAACCCTATTTAAGCATTTAAGTGATTCCCGAAGCCTTAGTTGTTGTTATCATTTATCTTGAACTCAAAGTTAGTTAACAATTATCTTGTTGAACAAAAAGTGAAAAAACCAAAAATATAAAACACAAATCAAAATCCCTGCACTTTATTCAATTCTTCATTTAAAGTTATCTACTCTCGGACTTGAATTAAACAACGTTTCCTTGTGGATTCGACCCGGTATTTTACCGGAATTTATTACTATATCGGCACTTGTACACTTGCAAGTTTAGCCCGATCACTATTCCTTTAACTACGATCAAGGCCATCTCTTAGTATTTAGATTTTAAAACCCAAATTCTAAAAACAAATAGCTAATACAACATGCGTACAGAAAGTTCTCAATTTGTTTTCAAAGAGATCTAATCTACTCCGTATTTTCTAATGAAAAACAAATCAGGGCAAAATCTAAGGAGCATTTACATGAACCGCATATTATGATCCACCAAATACGTATACAATTCGTATAATGTCATTAGAATCAATTTGACTCTGATACCACTGTTAGGAAATTGATGTAACGTATCTCGAAAGTACAGCAGCGGAAGTTTAAAATTTTCCCAAACAGATCTTCCCTGATTATGACAAAACATCGAATATAACAATGATAATAGATCTGAGTTAGAACTTACATGTCACGTCCCGGACCTAGCCGGACACGTCAACAACCCGCCGTACAGTACGAATAGTCAACCGCAGTCCAACTCATCCATACTATACAAGGCGTCATGAATATCATTCACACATAGTACATCCATAAACAAACATAATGTAAAACATGCATTTAAAATATTGGAAGCATTAATACAATTGTTCAAGCCACACTTGGCATAACTAGGCATGCAAGCCCCCAAAGTAATTATTCAGAAAATATTATCCATGAGCATTAATGTAATTGTTTTTAAAACAGAACGGGAGAAGCACGAACCACGTCTTCTTCCCTTGATTCCTCCCGAAGCAACGGGCAATGGCAGCGACCTTCAAGTTCTACCTGAAACTGTGAGGTGGCCTCCCCCGTGAAGGGGAGGTCAGTACTTGGAAATATTTGACAAGTACAATAGCAACTATACTAAGTATAATCAACGTTTTAATTTCCAAGACCCTCAACTTAGGGTACTATTATATTATAGGCCATAACCCTCGGTTACCCCTCTTTCTTTTAACTGTACTTACTTTACATAAAGTCAAGTAGTCAGCCCGTAGGCCCATACTCATTTAGAATTCATCTTTTCCATTCCCCCGTGACCGCGAGTCACGATAACCCCGTGGGGTCCCATCGAGCCCCAATTGTATAGCATGGGCTCGGCCCAACTACATCTCTATACAATCCTCTAGCTCAATATATCATATCAAAATTTGTATGGCAAGGGCTCGGCCCAACTACGTTTCCATACCAACCATAACTTCGTGGCAGGGGCTCGGCCCAACTACGTTTCCACGGAGGTCACATATACATGGCAAGGGCTCGGCCCAACTACGTTTCCATGCTAATCATAATACATGGCATGGGCTCGGCCCAACTACATCTCCATGTCATCCTAGAGTCCAACTCTAATTATTCTCATAATCAAATTCTCAAGCAAGTCCTATGCCTAGAATCAATTCCCGTAGGTGGCCTTTAGGCCTACCCCTATCACACCTTAGTGTTCATACCATTCATCCTTAAGTATCTCTTGAGACTACTTAAGGCATATCTATTCACAATCCTACCTCTTAGGATTTGTTTCATCATTTATTTATATTAATTCCCCGACTAGTATTTTGATACTAATTGGATAACCTTAGAACATGCCAAGTTCCTATTTTCCGATTTGCATTTCATTTCCATTGATTTCTCAACCCAAATATAGTTTAATCTCAATATCAAAAATATCACTTTAATCCATTCATGAATTTCATACATGAAGTAAAGTATATTTTATCACAATGTCATCATAGTAATTCCATTAACAAGCCGTTCCATTCATTTCACATAATCATACACAATTATTCTAAATTTGTATATCATGCTTCACTTACTCATATCCATATTATTTTCATTTAGGCATTATTAATCATTAATAATCCATGAAAATCCCATCTAATTACTTTAGGCATTCTTATGAAATTAACTCACTAATTATAAGCAATATAGTCAGCCATCCTCACCTCGTGATGTGCTACAATAGTTGCCTTTGTTAAGCCCCTCGATCAATCCCCGTTCTAGGCCGATTGAAAGTGAAAAGCTGGATTTCTGGGCCAAAGCCGGGCGGCTTTCACGAAAGCCGGGCGGCTTTCGTAGTCTGCAACTACGAACAGCTCCCTATATGTGGCGGTTTCCGGCGATTTCGACTCCTATCGATTCACCAACTCTTCTAAGTTAATTAACACCACTTTATAACAATATTCTACACTTTTAGACGTGTAGAACTCATGGTTTAATCCACCATATGATTTCTCAAAAATCATACACAAAAAACTAGTTACAAGATTGTTTGTTGAGTTCTTACCTCAAGAACAACCCTCTTCTCTTTGGATTCTCTTCCTTGCTGCTTGCACTAGGAGAGGAGACTTCCCTGGAGCTTCTCTCTCTGCTTTGGTCGAGTGAATGGTGTCAAATGGAAGGGGGGAGGTATCTATCCTCACCCAAGCCAAAAACAATGAAGAGGTATGGCCAAGGGAGTGGTTGGTTGTCTCCAGCCATCCCTTCATGCACAGCCCATGTTTATTTGACTCACTCAGCTCCCAATGTGTCAATTAGATCACACAAAATCGTGGGGTGGCCCCCACTCATGTGGGAGGTCATCCCATTACGTCCCGGTGTGTATAATCGGCCCCGAAAGTTGTATTTCTCGGACTGCTTTAGTCATTTTTTATTTTATCGGGCCGGATAAAATATATCACGCGTTCCCAACAATTTTGGGCCTTTAGAATGGATGTACTATCCCCAACATTAATTTAGGAGTCTCCGAAACTCATTTCCGGCTGTTACCCGCTAATTTACCAATACCGATAATTGGGCCCCGTTTGACCAACCGGTCAACTCTATGCCTTTCTTATGGCCCAAATAAAGTATCCACCACCATATAGGTGTCATCTAGACCAAGATGAATATCGGGGTTCGGGAATTATCGGGCGGTCCCCGTTCCCGCTGTGGGCCCCACATGCAATTTACTATTCACGTAAAAGAAATAATAAAAATTTACAATTACGCAAATTCATAAATCATCATTCAAGGTTTATTACATAATTTACTAAAAGTAAATATGCTCGGGGTCGGTGTTACAAGTTCACCCCCCCTTAACGGGAATTTCGTCCCCGAAATTCACAATCGATTATTCAAACAGAAATGCATACTGCTCCTTCATCGATGCTTCAGTCTCCCAAGTTTCTTCTTCAACTCGGTCACTTTTCCAAAGGATTTTAACCATTGGAACTTTCTTGCTTCTTAGCTTCTTTACTTGTCTATCAAGTATCTTTACCGGTTGCACGGCGTAGTTCAGGTCTTCCCGTATTTCCACGGGTGGTTTCCCTAGTACATGAGATGGATCCGGAATATACTTCTTAAGCATAGACACATGGAATACATTATGTATTTTTTCCAATTCCGGAGTCAACTGTAATCGGTATGCTACGGCCCCAATTCTCTCAAGAATTACAAATGGCACTATGTAGCGTGGGTTGAGTTTCCCTCGGCTCTGAAATCGGATGATTCCTTTCCAAGGTGAAACTTTCAAAAATACCTCATCCCCAACCTTAAACTCTAAGGCTCTTCGGCGCTTATCGGCATAGCTCTTCTGTCTATCCTGTGCCGCCTTAAGTCTGTCACGAATCGTCTTTACCTTCGACTTGGTGATTTCCACCAGTTCCGTGCTCTCGAGTTTGGCCATGCCGACCTTATCCCAACACAAAGGTGTACGACATCTCCTCCCATACAATGCCTCGTATGGAGGCATGCCTATACTCGCCTGATAACTGTTGTTATAGGCAAACTCCACAAGTGCCAAATGGTTGTCCCAACTCCCTTGGAACTCCAATGCACAAGCTCTCAGCATATCCTCTAATATCTGTATAACCCGCTCGGATTGTCCATCCGTTTGCGGATGGAAAGCTGTACTGAATTTCAGTTTTGTCCCCATAGATTCTTGGAACTTCGGCCAAAATCGTGATGTGAATCGCGGATCTCTATCGGATACAATGGTTATAGGAACCCCATGCAGCCTCACGATCTCATCCACATACAACTTGGCTAACCTTTCCAGTGCATAGGTGGTGTTGATAGGTAGAAAGTGTGCACTCTTTGTGAGCCTATCGACCACAACCCATACGGCATCATAGTTCTTAATCGTCCGTGGCAGCCCCACCACGAAATCCATAGTCACGTGCTCCCACTTCCATTCAGGAATGGAAAGTGGCTGTAGTAACCCAGCCGGATGATGATGTTCTGCCTTAACTTGCTGACAAGTAAGACACCTACTGATGTACTCGGCTATTTCCCTCTTCATACCCGACCACCAGTAACTCTCCTTCAAATCACGGTACATCTTCGTGCCTCCCGGGTGCATGGCATACGCCGATGAATGGGCCTCCTCTAAGATGGACTTTCGGAGCTCATCATCCAACGGTACACACACTCGGTCACGAAATAATAAGAGACCATCGTCTCTCTCCCTGAAATCCTCAACCGGTCCCGCTAGCATGCGTTCACGGATCTTCATAAGTTCTTCGGCGGTTTCTTGATCCTTCTTGATTTCATCAAGTAATGTAGGTCTAACCTCGAATCTAGCTAATAAGGCACCATCGCTAGATACCTCCAATTGGGCTCTCAATGCCCTCAAGCTAGTCAATAATGCCCCAGATGAATTCTTTCGGCTCAAGGCATCCGCTACCACGTTGGCTTTACCGGGGTGGTACTCGATAACTAGATGGTAGTCTTTTATCAACTCCATCCACCGTCTCTGTCTCATGTTTAACTCTTTTTGAGTAAACACGTACTTCAGGCTTTTGTGGTCGGTGTATATATGACATGTTTCCCCGTAGAGATAATGTCTCCAAATCTTCAATGCGAACACCACCGCCCCCAGCTCTAAGTCATGAGTGGGATAATTTACCTCATGCTTCTTCAACTGTCGTGAAGCATAGGCAATCACCCTCCCATTCTGCATCAAGACACACCCAAGCCCTTGGATGCTTGCGTCGCTGTAGACATCGTACCCCACACCCTGTTTGGGTAGTGCGAGTACCAGTGCCTCGGTCAATCTCTTCTTAAGTTCAAGGAATCCCTTCTCACATCGGTCATCTCATACAAACTTGGCCCCCTTTCGAGTGAGCTTTGTCAATGGCGATGCCAAAACTGAGAATCTCTCCACAAATTTTCGGTAGTACCCCGCCAATCCAAGGAAGCTACGAATTTCCTTGACGTTCTTTGGCCTCTCCCATTCAGTAATGGCCTCAATCTTCTTGTTATCTACGGCAATCCCTCATCCTGAAACCACATTCCCGAGAAAACCAATCTCCCTTAGCCAAAATTCACATTTGGAAAACTTGGCATAGAGTTGCTTCTCCCGTAGTGTCTCAAGAACAAGTATCAAGTGCTCTTCATGCTCTTCTTCACTCTTCGAGTAAATCAAGATATCATCTATGAACACAATCACAAACCGGTCCAAGTATTTATGAAATACTCGGTTCATCAAGTCCATAAATGCTGTCGGGGCGTTGGTTAGCCCGAATGACATAACTAGGAACTCGAAATGACCATACCTTGTGCGGAATGCACTCTTCGGTATGTTGTCCTCCTTTATCTTCAGTTGGTGGTACCCCAACCTCAAGTCAATCTTCAAAAACACCGTCGCTCCTCGGAGCTGATCAAACAAGTCATCAATCCTAAGCAAGGGATACCTATTCTTGATTGTGACCTTGTTCAGTTGACGATAGTCAATGCACATTCGAAGTGTTCCATCTTTCTTTTTCACGAAAAGGACCGGTGCTCCCCACGGAGAGTGACTCGGCCTTATGAAA